AAAAAAATGGCTAAATAAATAATCATATTCTAGTATTATCTGTTTAATAATTAGGATCACAATAAATTTTCTAATCTTCTGATATTAATAATATAAGAAAGATATATTATATTATTATAAATATAAAAAAACTATACTAGTCTATTGTTGAAATCATTATTTTTAATATGTTAAATGAAGTTTAAACTGTTTTGTCATCAGATTAAACAGCTGAAAAGTTAAATAATATTGAAGAAATAATTGTCATAAGATTCAAAAAAGAATATAAATAATAAAAAAAAATAATTTTAGATTTAGTTATAAATAGTTTTCATTAATAATTTATAAAATACAATTAGTAATAAATAAAGAATCTGTTTTTGAATGGTTAGACTTTAATACATTAAAGTAGCAATACAATTTCATATATTTTAAGAAATTTAACATTATATTTCAATATTATCAATATTCTATCATATGTATTTAAACTTTCTATTTAATATTCTATTTAATTTACAAAAATGTTATAAAATTAAAATTTAAAGGATTAAAATTTAAAAAATTTATTGGATTTTGAAAAATAATCTCACCAACTATCATTTTTATTTTTATAAAAATCCAGTATTCAAGATGACTAAAAATAAAACTTTTTATAGTTAAGATGTTAAATTTTTATCTTAATCTCTTTAAGTAAGAATTTTATTTTATTATTTTGATTTTTTGAAATAATACAGAATCTAAAGAAAAAAAAATTTTTGAATTGAAATTCTTATCCTATCTTATTAAAAAATGTTTTTAAATAAACATCTAAAAATACAAAATATTTTTACAAAAAAATAATATATTTTGTAGTACTCTTTATTTAATATCTTTGACAAAAAGAAGCTGACTTAAACTAAAGTATTTGAAAGAGAATCTCAAGGTACATGTTAAAATATAATGTTTTTCAGGTCAAAGTTTGTTTAGTATAGAGTTAAATAAAAAGTGTTTTTTTAGTATAGAATAAAAATAAAACTTGAAAAATGTATAAAGTTAGATCATCATACGTTACACCATATTATAAATGATTTTTTGACGTCACGGGACGGGATCAGAAATTCGGCCAATCGAATTTTTAGATACACCTTGAAAAAATCCATATAAAAAAGGTCTTCATAAAAAACCAATTTTTACGCGACTGAATTTTAATCATGTCAAAAAACGAAAAATCGCCACTAATAAACGTCGATGATGACACTTGTTTCACATATTCTTGTGAAGTCGAATGTGCTACTAACCATTCTAATAATTTATCAAAAGACTCTACATTAGAAGCCAGATTAAAAGCTCTTTTAGATAGAGAAACGGAATTAAAACTACAAATTGATGAATTAATTGAAGAAATTACGAATTTAGAAGCAATTGCGAGAAATAGAAGTAAAAGTAATGGTGGCAATGAAGAAGAAAATAAAGAAACTAAAAAGAATGGTATTAAAAAAGAAGTTGTTGAAGGTAATGAATTATTGAGCATTTGTTATAAAATTGAAAATGATTAATGTTAAAGTTCAATTAAACCTTTTATAATTAGAAGTTTGTTGGGAAGAATTCGAAGCTCCAGAATGGTGTGTGCCTATAAAAGCTGATGTATTAACGTTTGAATGGGATGTAAGTACAATTTCGGAATTCTAATTTTCCTATATTTTTTTTACGCGTTTATTAAAAAATTTATCGTACACAAATAGGAACTCGCTAAAGAATGTCAATTTGATGTAATTTTAATGGATCCGCCTTGGCAATTAGCAACACATGCCCCAACACGCGGTGTAGAGTATTATATGAATTCTCTTGTCATTCTTTCTTATAGCAACAAATGAATGACGGATTAAAGGTTCGTGTAATTGTTCTCACCAAACAAAGTTTGTTATCTTTTATTTTTTTGGTGTATATATATTTATATAAAAATACAAAGGTGGCTATAGCTTATCAACAATTGCCGGATGTTTGTATCGAGGAATTGCCGATTCCTCAATTACAGAAAAATGGATTCTTGTTTATCTGGGTCATTAATAATAAATATTCTAAAGCCTTCGAAATGATGAAAAAATGGGGTTACACGTAAGGATTGTTTTCGAGAAATATTGTAAATTTGTTTCATTTAATTATATGAAATTTATTTGTTGCGTTTTTTTATTGCATTAGGTACTGTGATGATATTACATGGGTTAAACAAACGGTGAATAGAAGAATGGCTAAAGGACATGGATTTTATCTGCAACACGCGAAAGAGACATGTTTAATGGGAAGAAAGGTAAGGAATTTCTTTGGTTACCATGTTTCATTAATATAATAAATTTATTATCTTTACTACAATTTTCAAAAAGGGAGAGGACCCTCCAGAATGTAATCATTCAATTTCTTCAGATGTGATATTTTCAGAAAGACGAGGACAAAGCCAAAAGCCTGAAGAATTATATGAGATGATTGAAGAGTTGGTTCCTAATGGTAGGGTTTATTGTTAACTAAATTTCTTGTTGCTTTTTTTGTTTATTTACGCGTCCCTTAATTTTATAGGGAATTATTTAGAGATATTTGGACGGAAAAATAATTTGAGAGATTATTGGGTGACAATAGGAAATGAATTGTGAATGAAATTACGGTTGTACGATTAGAATATTTAGAATATTACTTGCCGTCATTTGTTAAAATAATATATAAATACGGTATATCGTAACAAAAATATCATTGACGCTCAATCGGAGCTTTGTTTGTAAAAATCATAGGGTACACCAAATAAATATTACAATTCGAACTACGATAAACATCATTATTATTTTTTTCCATGTAGGAATCGCTATCATATGATTGTTAAATTGTAAAATAATATGATTGAATTTTTTTTATTCAGTATCGCTATTAATTTGTTTTCATTAAAATGAATCTGTGTATGGTATTGCAACTATAATCTGATAATCAATTTATCGAAAAAAAGGCAGTGCAATAATAATAAATCTTACTTTTTTACGTTAAAAATCCATCATAAAATTATCATGTTCTCGCAAAATCTTGTGTCTAGAACAGCATCTTGCTGCCTCAAAATTCAGGATTAAGAAATGTTGAATTCTACCGGCTCAATCAAATCTAAAATGGAAATATCAACTTGTACGCTATTATCATCAAAATGAAAAATTCATATTCATCCTCCAAAAATTCCATTACAACCATTTGCCATCCCTCCTAGAACATGCTCATATCCGAAAGTTTAGGAGCAATGCCCGTATTGTCATTGTGGAAGGAAGGTGTTATCGATGTCTATTGCAGAAGATGAGCTTGAAGATTTGATAGTAAACATCTAATGAATATAGTGCATTTTTTAAGACGCGAAATATCGAGCTAAGCGTTCCATTAGTGTATCTAAAATGTAGAAGATAAAATAGCGGGAGAACTGGTACCGGGGGGGGGGGGGGGACAAAAAGACCATTTCTTACAAAACCCGCCCGAAAAACCCCAAAA